TACCTGGAATACTGTTCCAAGATACAGTGTATGAAAACATAATGTCTCCAGCAACAATAACTATCAATGTGCAACCTCTGTGCAAGTGGCATGACTGTGAAGTTGAAATTTTCTCAACAGAGCAGGCACACTGGCGGTAGACTTAGGTGGCCCTGGTTGCCGACCATCATCAGCAGGCAGTAACAGCAGTTTTGTCACAGGTAGATTAGCACAACATGAGAACCAGGAATCAGTCAAGACAACAACGTGACACAGAGAAGGAAGGATCCATCACAAGATAATATTATAAACAATCATTAAGTCCATGCACAAATTAATTTACAGTCGACTCCCGATAACTCGAACCTTCAAGGGAAATCGAAAAAAGTTCGAGTTATCGGGAGTTCGAGTTATCGGGAGCTCGAAGAAAATAGCCGAGAGTAAGGTAAAAAACGGTTTTTACTGCACAGTAGCTCACAGTGAACATTTTAATCACATTTAATTGTAGAAATGTCAAGTGAAAATTAAAAGATACTTCTAGATTATAAATCAGAGAGTAACGTAACAAACCATAGCCTAAATAGAGCATGCGTTTTACTGTTTTGAGAAGTAAAGCTGCTTCACGTAAGCCTGTGACAATCAATATCAGCCTCCACTAGTAAACTATACTCATATACAACACGTCAATAGGAAGTCCAAAATTCAATGTTTCGAACGCCAGACTTCCCGACTTTTTAAGAGCTTAAAACATGGTTCGAGTTATCGAGGGTAAAATTATAAAGAAAATGACCTGAGGGGAAACGAAAATTGGTTCGAGTTAGCGGGAGTTCGAGTTATCGAGGGTTCGAGTTACCGAAGGTAAAATTACAGTGAATGTATCACGGAAATCCAGGGGAAATCGATTTTGGTTCGAGTTGGCGTGGGTTCGAGTTATCGGGAGTCGACTGTACTAGTTCACTGTCATGATATCAATAATATTACCGTAAAATTCCGAAAATAAGCCCCGAGGCTTATATTTTTCAAAGGCCCTTTTTGAAGGGCTTATATTCGGAGGGACTTATGTATGGACGGAAATTTGTGTTTCAAAATCAATTGGGCTAGCTTGTAGTGGGAAGGAAATTTACCTGCTTTGTTTTACTTTGTATTTGAGGGCAACCTCCAAGTACAAGCTGTCCGGGGCTTATATTCGGAGGGGCGATTTAACGGAGGGTTTTTTGCGTTACGATTCTGGGGGGCTTATATTTGGAGGGGCTTATACATGGAGGGGCTTATTTTCGGAATTTTACGGTATGTTAAGACAGTAAGAAATAACTTATGACGAAAAATTATTATTATAAATTAAACTTAAGAATCATAACTTATTATGACAAAAAATAACTTATTGGTGCCTAGTAAAAGGCGACTGCCTTTGGTATGGGAACCGCTTTAATAACCAAGTGTAGGTGAAGTACATGTAGTTAAGGGAAATATTCTGATCATTTCATAGAGGTTTAACGTAGGTTTACGCTTAAATCGAAAGGCCATTAACAACCTACAGAAAGGAATATAAAATATGTTACATTATGCCATTCTGTGGCGCTGGCAACTGACAAAATTGTGACCCGTTTTCAAGGATTCACAGCTGCCCACATGACATTGTGGTCTTATTGTGTAGGCTTGAGGCTTTAAAAATCCAACAGTGTTACCTAAAATTACTGTATGAACCCTTTACGAGTTCGCCCACTATCACAAAGTCTTTAAGAATACAGTGAACCAGTCAAGAAGGAATTAGTTTTTCAAACAATTCAATAAACTCACAGTTTGTGTTTTGTCAAGTCCAAAACACTTGGCTGTGGCATTAGTTTTTAATAAAACACTTCTGACAATGCAATACACTGCTTTCGCGAGCAAATTGGGCGCTCAAAGACAGGGGCACCCAACGACGATTTTTGGAAAATATCTGTTCGGAAGACGATTTGAGATCTAGAATTTTCGGAACATTATTTGTGAAATTTCTTGCTTGCCTGCCTCTCCTAGGATTTTCGAGCCCCTCAAAAAGGTTATAATTGCCCATTTTTAACGGATTTTTACCCTAAAAAGGTCACCTAGAATTTTCGGGAGCCTTTTTTCTGGCTGAAATTTTCGAAAAGGTAAGTTTTGATCCCTATAATTTTCGGATTACTAGACTTTCCGCTAGGAAATCCGAACAGATCAAAAAATTTTAAGGGATAAAAATATGCCTACATCTACCGTTTAAATACCAAAATACGTTCAATGGTGCTAGTTTAAGTGGTTTTGAACTACATTCTCGTTGGGTGCCCCTGCAAAGAAAACGCCTGCACTGCCTAGCATTTTACCAAACAATCCTGCACGTGGAAAGACTTCCAGAACGCAGCCTCGTTACAATGGAAGCCTCGTTATCACCTTGTAACTCTTGTCTTATATCACGTGATCGTTGTAAGTAAACATCCATACTGAGTCGGAGCAGGTGAAATGTTTTTGTTATTTTCTAGAACGAAAATGTTATTTTCTAAGATTTTTCTCAGTACTTTGATCTCCATGTCCTTTTTCGGTAATACGTTGGGTAAAGATACCGTCATTTTAGTTTCTTTCGACGGTTTTCGATGGGATTATCTCCACATGAATCGTACCAATACAGCAAACTTCGATTCCATCATTCAGGAAGGCGTTCGAGCTGAGTATGTTCAAAATGTTTTCCCAACCGTTACGTTTCCGAATCACTACACCATTATGACTGGACAGTATGCTGAGAGCCATGGAATAATATCCAATAGCATGTACGATCCCGTTCTTAATGAGAACTTCAGCATGGACACGAACGACTCGAAATGGTGGAATACGTTCAGTGAACCGTTGTGGATCACCAACCAAAACCAGGGTCATAAAAGCGGGATGTGTTACTGGCCGGGNTCAATTCACCAGATGAGGCTGGCCACTGCTGTGGACCGTACTCAGTAAACGTTACAGAAGAAATCAGGAAAGATGACAAGATCACGGGATACTTATTGGAGCAATTGCGTAAAGAAAAATTATTGGATGAAGTTAATCTAATTATCACCGCTGATCATGGAACTGGAGCGTACAACACAAGCACAATCATCAATTTTACTGATTATTTAACTCCTGATTCTACGTCTTGGACTGGAGGAGGAACTTATTTTTTTTTATATGCTGATAATGTAACTCGTGCTTACAACAAGTTAAAAGAACTTCAAAAATTGCAACCCCATTTCTCAGTTTTTCATAAGGAGGAAGTACCAGATGATCTTCACGTAAAACATAGTAATCGCGTTCCTGAAATTGTAGTTATCATGGATGAACACTGGATTGCAGATATTTCAAAAGCTCATAACACAACAGTTTCTGAGCCTGTTGTCACTAAAGGAGCTCATGGTTGGGTCCCATCCATACCGTCAATGCATCCGTTCTTTATTGCGCGTGGCCCAGCATTCAAGGTTGGTCACAAATTTGATCACATCAACATGGTTGATATCTACCCATTGATATGCCATTTACTTGGAATAAGACCAGCGCCAAATAATGGATCCCTAGATCGCATTGCTCACCTACTGAAATCTACACCTCGCACTGAATCAAGTTCACTGAATACTGGAGAGATTATAGCATTAGTTATCGGGACCGCAATTGGCTTAACAGTTTGTATGTATGCTGTTATCATGGTTGTGAAGGATCGAAGACTTGGGAGGGGGCAAAGGAGGCCAGGAGAAGTGGATGTTCCACTGATAGATGGTGAATTATATGGTGATCAAGAAGATGACAATGTCATTTAAACCCAGAAATATAAATTTGTAAGGTTTTACTATTTTGTAGTTCTATAAAACCTTTGCAAGATCATATTACAATCTAGGAAGTAGTTCAATTCTCCATTCACACGTATATTGTGGTTCAATTTTAACCTTAAGTTTCAAGTTTTATTTTCCTTTACTTTGTTTTTGGGTATTCTAAGTTAGTGAATGACAATTATTGACTCTGCAACAAAGGAAAATAATATTTAAATCAGGGATAAAATTGAACTCAATATGTACAGCAGGGCTAGGGAGTAAAGTTTCATGATTCTACTGTCACTTGTGTTAAAACATTAAAAACTAAGCAAACATTTTAAGATAGATTAAGGGACATGTATAAAGTGCTAACAGTCAAACCTGTATTAAGTAATTCAACTGCAGAAAATGACCAACTGATACGGGACTGTATAGCCCAAGAGTTAAGACTGGTTCTCTGTTCTCACTCACTGGCCTGCAAAATAGCTGCAGGCACTACCTGGAATACTGTTCCAAGATACAGTGTATGAAAACATAATGTCTCCAGCAACAACAACTATCAATGGTACCTCTGCAGGTGGCATGCCTGTGAAGTTAAATTGTTTCAACAGAGCGGGCACACTGGAAGTAGACTAAGATGGCCTCGGTTGCCAACCATCATCAGCTATTACTGATTGTCAGTTACTGTCCAAATGGAATGAATGGTATCCGAGGCAGTAACAGCCGCTTTGTCGCAGGTAGATTGGCACAACATGAGAACCAGGAATCAATCAAGACGAAATGTGACATAGAGAAGGAAGGATCTATCACAAGATAATATTATAAACAGTCATAAAGTCCATGCACAAATTAATTTATTTAGTTCACTGTCATGGTATCAATAATATTATGTTAAGACAGTAGGAAATAACTTATGATGATAAAATTATAAATTAAACATAGGAATCATAACTTATTATGAGAAAAAATAACTTATTAGTGCCTAGTAAAAGGCAACTGCCTTTAGTATGGAATCGCTTTCATAACCACGTATAGGTGAAGTACATGTACCTTAGTACAGGAAATTAACGTGAATCGTTAAAAGTCGCGTTAATTTAAGTCGCATTAATTTCCGTGACGTTAATTAAGTGCAGCGTTAATTTCCGCCCTCTTAATTTCCAGTATTTTAACCCCAATTTTGGAACCTGTCCATACATTCTTGACACCTAAAAAACATTAACTAAAAGCTTTCTTTCTTTCCATTTACCCTTTATTTTTCATCTTTCACAAAAGCTAAGGTGAAGGTTTACAATATTTCGAGTTCATATTCATCATTGTCACTGTCAGAAGTGATGTCAATATCTTCTCCTTTGATTTCGTGTAATTAATCGCATTAACTTCCTTTATTATGAAATTTTTCCTCCTCCTTCGCGTTAATTTTCTTTATCCAAAAGTCGTTTCCCATTAAATTTGCGTAAATTTAAGTCGCGTGTATTTCCAATACCTTAATTTCATGGAGCGTTAATTTCCTATAATAAGGTAGTTAAGGGAAATATTCTGATCATTTCATAGAGGTTTACGCCTAAGTCAAAAGGCCATTAACAACCTACAGAAAGCAATATAAAATGTTGCATTATATCCTTCTGTGGTGCTGGCAACTGACAAAATTGTGACCCGTTTTCAAGGATTCACAGCTGTCCACATGACATTGTGGTCTTATTTTGTAGGCTTGAGGCTTTAAAAATCCAACAGTGTTACCTAAAACTGCTGTAGGAACCTTCACGAGTTCACCCACTCTCACAAAGTCTTTAAGGATACAGTGAACCAGTCAAGAAGGAATTAGTGTTTAATACAATTCAATAAACTCACAGTTTGTGTTTTTGTCAAGTCTGAGACACTTGGCTGTGACATTAGTTTTTTTAAAAAAACCCTAATAAAACACTTCTGCTGGTTTATTAAAAGGACTCTTTCTCAGATTTCTGAATTCCACTGGAGAAAACCACTTTTCACTGGAGTTTGTTTTTGTTTGTTGTGGTTGTTTTTGTTTTTGTTCTGGTTTGCTACAATGATGGTGGGCAAATTCATAACCTCAGCTGACACCCTCTCCCAACAGCAGCCTCGATCTCATGCAGGGCATCACAAGGATGTGTTGTTAATAAGCCGTAAGAATGTCTGCATGGAATGCTATTCAGACAAAAGCAGTTGTAAAGGTCTCTTTAAAAACCTAAGGTTTCTCAAAATTGCTGTGGAATTTTAAATACTTGCAGTTTCACAGCCAATTTTAGTAATTTCTCTTCGTGAATAGGCTGACTGCTCGCTTTATTTGAAATCACATCAACCGTCACTTTATTTGTGTCCCATATGTAACTTGACAATGTAAGATGTGCAGTTCACCATTTTGTTCTCGGTAATGGGAAAGTGGTTGAATTTACAATGAAACTGCTCCTACCAATTCCACATGTCATGGACTGGTTTTTCATTAGTTGCAACTTGGATTACGCTTTCTACAAAGTCTGGAAAGAAGAAATGTACTGTTTCTACAATGCTAAGATACCAGGGAAAATACATCTGCCACTTTCTGAGAGCAATTCCTTTGATCATAGCAAGAGCACATTTATTGACAGGCTCAGGTTTAACACTGTCATAAACTGGAGTACCTTTCGTTCCTGTACGAGTATTCTTTGTATCTATATATCCAAGGACATACAGGGTGATAGTGATGTCTCCTTGTCCTTGGATTGCCAAATCTTGCCTCAAAGTGTCAAAAAATCCATGTAGAGCATGCTTATTGCCACAGTATGGCGCAGCCCTTGGCGTTGAGACAACCCCTGCAAATGATGACACCACTACAATGCTTCCATTAGTCTTGTGGAGTTCAGGAAGAAGTAATGTTGCTATGTTGATGTAGCTAATGGTGTTAACTGCATAGTATTGTGGGAGTTTGTTGAGGTCGCTGTTCTCATTCCACAGGTCATAAACTATTGGTGTCAGATGATTAAGGATAAGGATGTCTGGCCCCCCATCAAACAGCTTTTTGGTCTCCTACAAAAATGTTGGAAATCATACTTTAGGAAATACGGTTGAACCTCCATTATGCAGACACCTACACTACAAGCAGTCTCTCTTTTTTCTCCATCTGTCGAGCGAAATGTGCAAGACACGCAAATGACCACGCATGTTACTGAAGGCACTCATGCACACATGCACTCCCCACACTAAATCTGCAGAAAAGGGAGACTGCTCAAAGTCTAGCAGCCACCCGCTATTAAGCAACCAGTAATCAAGGTCCCATAGTACCGCCGTGGCCATCTTGATAGTTCTCTCATTGTTGTCAACTCTATTAAGCAGCTATTAAGCCCTTGATACATTTTGTGTAACTTTGTTTTTAATATCTGATGAAAGAAAATACAGTCCAAGATGCCTGGGGAGGGGGGGGGTGGTACTTGGGTTAATTTTTGCTGGGTATGTGCCGCTGGCCTCTCAGATCCCCTACCCCATCGTAGTCTATCCTGTGGCCAATATAGACCCCATCTTAGTTACTTTTGCGCAAATATCTAATTTTCAGGATCCCAACTTAGTCACTTTCTATTTTTATGAATTGACCAATTTTTTTATGAAGAACACTTCATCTACAGTACAAACATTCTGGTACATTTGCTGACCGTAAATATGAAGAACTGTTCTACCCCACAAAAATCAGAAAATGTGTGACCCCATTCTAGTAACTCTATTGAAAATACGACCCCATTATAGTCAATCCAGTCGTGAAAATGTAACCCCATTAGCCTATTATAAGGAAGTACCTACCCCCTACCCCCCATCCCCCCAGCCAAGATGGAAGGTGATGACTGACTGATGACCAGTAATGTCCCTCCCATCCCATGCATGTTTGTTTCAAATTAAATGATTGTTTCTGCTAAAGATAATGCTAATTTATGACAAATGTCTATTGAGTGACCAGTCCTCATTAAGCAGCCAATTGCCAGTTTGCCAGTGCCCTGAGGGTGGATACTAATAATAGGGTTCAGCTGTAAAACTTAATCCCAGGGGTCAATTCAATAAAATTCTACAAGTGTGGCTATTGTTTCATACCCTAAAATGAAATCTTCAGTAATATTGTAATTAACCTCATTGTAAATAAGAAAAAAAACGGGAGGAAGCCGAGAATGCAAGGTATTGGGGGTGGGAAGTTTAGACCCTCTGTGCTCCCTCCAGCTAAATAAAGCTGATTCTTTGAGATACTTGATATGCAGTTATGAAGAAAAAGATAGAATACACTGGGGTGCCAAGAAAGTCAGTTTTACAGCCTGCCATTCAGGCAAGCTGTAGCTAGTATGTACTAGCTCACAAGTCATTTCAACTAGCCCAAAACCCTTTTTGATTAGCAGGATTGATTACAATCCTTCTGTAATTTGAATTTCCCCCAAAAAACAGTACTTGCCCATCAGTTAAGTTAAGAACAAAAATCACTAGCCCGATAGCAAAATCCACTAACCCCAGGCTATTGGACACAACTTTCTTTTCACGCTGTACATACAGCAGCAAAGTGCATGGCACCCTCCTAAGAAGACAGATCAGCTACATGTAGCTTGCTATTGAGCACCCAATTAATTTGCCACAGTGTGCTACAATCTTTTGAAGTACGGCTTCTTGCCTCGTAACAAGCAACAGTTGGGCGCCAAATTTCATGTATTGATATGCAAGTTCCTCTCCGATACCTCTGGATGCTCCACAAATCACCACCTTTTCACCTTGCAGTGATTCAGGATCAAACCTTTCTCATACAAACCAGGCAATCAGAGCTGCTGGAGAAGCTGCAAAAACACTGAAGAATAATGAGCTTCAACATAGTGCACGCCATTTTTGACTGATGTGCTCCTGACCTTGGCCTTCGATAGCCTGATGTCTGCCATGTAGGCTAGACCTTTGACGATTCTGTAGTTCCAGACAAATAAACAAACCAACCACGCGACAGACAAGCCATGCGAATGACTTCCTAAATGCTAAAAGCCATGCAAGAGAGAAACCTCTACTCGCAGGATAATAAAAGGCTGATAAAAAAATTAAGGGTCTCAAAATTTCAATAGAATATCACAAAAGTTGCAGTTTCACTACTTATTTAATTTATTCACGTAAGGAAATTTTTTTCGACTCTTGTCTGTGATAGGTCTAAACACTCATTTTCTTAACTGAAAAATGTTTTCATACACCACAGATAACTCAATCCATGCAGTGCTGCTTACTGTCATCAGTGATTTTACAAACTACTTTCTACCAAGTCCACATGTCCTGGACTGGTTTTTCATTAGTTGCTACTTGGATTACACTTTCTACAAAGTCTGGAAAAAAGAAATGTACTGTTTCTACAATGCTAAGGTACCAGGGAAAATACATCTGCCGCTTTCTGAGAGCAATTCCCTTGATCATAGCAAGAGCACATTCATCAACAGGCTCACGTTTAACACTGTCATAAACTGGAGTACCTTCTGAGCCCTTACGAGCATTTGCTGTTTCTATATATCCAAGGACATATAAGGTTATAGCGATGCCTTGGCGTCCTTGAATTGCTAAATCCTGCCTCAATGTGTCAAAAAATCCATGTAGAGCATGCTTATTACCACAGTATGGCGCAGTTCTTGGCACAGGAACAACACCTACAAATGATGACACCACTACAATACTTCCATTAGTCTTCTGGAGTTCAGGAAGAAGTAATGTTGCTATGTTAATATAACTGATGGTGTTAACTGCATAGTATTGCGGGAGTTTGTTAAGGTCACTGTTCTCATTCCAAAATCCATAAAAACTCATCAGATGGTTGAGGATAAGGATGTCTGGCCCCCCATCGAACAGCTTTTTGGTTTCCTACAAAATGTTCGAATACATAGTTCAGGAAATAAAATTGGCATTTAAGATGGGCCATTTTGTTGCCAATTTCAATGTGAAATGGCATGCCCAACCTCAGTGCATCTCATGAAATCACTATCTCCAAGTTACTTAAATACAAGTAAAATTTACAAGTGCATGGTTATTTGTTTTCAAACTCTAAAAGAATAGCTACACTTGTAAACTACTGGTATATGTAGAAAAGGTTTATTGAATTGACCCAAACACATAGGCTCAATGTCTGTCATTTTACCAAGTTAAGACTTCAGTACGTGATGATGAAAGGTCGATCGTAATTGTTTGCAAACCAGTATAGTATACAAGGCTCCTTGGCCTTTTTGCTTTCTTCCTTGCTTGTTTTGAGGAACCCTCTTTTTTGGGGATTTTCAAGATTTATTACACTACCATGGCATTTTTGCAATACCTCACAGATGGAGAACTAATGTCCCAAACTAAACAGCAGAGAAAAGGCAATCAAAGACAAGCTGTTGTTTACAGACAAAAGCATGTGAAATGGTGCCACTTGTCAGAAAGGAAGGAGCTGTCAATAACAGCAATTAAGGAGGCATGAAAAGCGGCAAATCGCCAGATCAAAGATCCCATCGCAGTCTCTTATTTTTTCTTCACTGGCGCTTCTGCCCTCATTCCTCCTAGCCTTGCCGCTCGTCCCTCACGCGTGCTCTTGA